AGGTGAAGTGGCAAAAGAGAGATGTGGAGAAGAGGGGAGAGGAGAGGAGAGGTTTCAGGATCTAAGCACAGGATCATGGAGTCCTGCCAAGGAAAGCTGTTAGGGTTATGTTTGGGCTATGTTAGGGTTATGGCCCCTTCCCTGGAGCCCTTTGGCAGCTGACAAGATACTTCCTTGTAGCTACAGGACCTTCTTCTCATAGGAAAAAACAGGTCAAGTTTCTTGTAGGATCACCCACATGGAGGGGAGAGCTGCAGTGGTTTCTATGCTGGAGGAGGTGAGGTCAATCGGAACTGTTCTCCCCAGGGCCAGTCTTCCCATTTCATCAAGATACACTGGGGAAACTGGGCTTGATGAACCACATCTTCTGTTCCACATGGATCTGAAGACACCAAGAGACATAGACACCATCAACAGTTCTGACAGCTTGATGCTCTCTCACTGTCCAGTGCATGAAGCTGTCTGGCTCAAGCCATGGGTCTGCATGCCTTTAACTGTCAAGTTGTCCCCAGCTTTTCCTCCTTGTGACACCTTGCTGGTCCTGCCACCAAACCTCCTCTGGCTTCTTTTTGCACATAGTTCAGGCAGTTTCACTTATGCTTCTCCCTGTAAGATATTTTTCCAAGCCTTTTAAATCAGTTTTTTAATCTTCTTTCAAAACTTTAGACACAAGATCAGTCACACCAATGCCTGGCAGAGGAGAGCTGTTACCTCCTCTCTCCCAAAGCTTCTGCTCTTCCCCCATGCAAGCACCGTTGCCCACCCTTGCTTTTCCGCTCACTGTCCCCCCTTCCTTCTCAGTCTTTCCCAGGGGAGAGGAGACATTCCCACAGGACATTTTAGGGGGAGCCTCTAAGAAGGTACCCAGAGCAGTACAAGTCCCAGCTCTCAGGGTGATGGGGACCCAGCTCTTCTTCTGATGTGGGTCCAAGGTCTCTTACTTCAAGAGAAACAAGACACCAGCCATGAAAGCAGCTCCCTTTGTAGGTTTGGACTTGCAAGAAAATCCCACACTGAAGCAGGAGCAGAGACATTGGCTTCCTGAGCTGCCAGTGAAGTCTCTGTGCTACAGGCAGCCAGAACTGGCTCACCCAGAAGCTGAGTGGGACTGCCCCCCCATGTCCTGAAAATGCTCAGAAGTAGATAACAGCTACGCAGGGTCTACGTGGAGCTAGGCCTGTGTCTCAGCCTCCATCTAGCCTAGCAGGAGGAGTTGGGGGAAGTGTTGCTATGTGTCACTGGCCAAGAGAATCCAGTTTACTCTACTAGTAGTGGCCCTTGAGTTGGACACCTCAGCTACATCTTCTCACCTACAAACCACCTGGAACTTCAGGACAACTTTACTGACACACCCTGGGTCTAAACCTGCCTGCTGCAAAAGGTGTACCTGCACCGCTGCCAGGCAATATGAGGGTGCTGGGCAACTCAAGCACCTTGCAGGACAGAGCCCATGGACTAGGACTTCCAGTGGGAATGGAGGCCCAGCATCCTTCATTGCTCCGTACCCCACCTCTGGGCAAGGCATCTGCGAAAAGAACTGGCTCCTTGACAAACACAGGACCTGTGCTCCCTTGAAACCTCTGGGCACCCTCGCCTTAGTGAGCGCTTGACCTTTGCTCAGGGTGGGTTGCTACAGATTGGGGCTTTCTGAACCACACAATAGCTTTGATCAGTCGGGACCTCTGAAGGTCCCTGGCACATTCTTGCTCAGACCAAGGCTGGTAGATCAGGTTGATCAGGAGGATCTCCAAGGATGGCAATTCCTGCCCCAGTTTGGTCCCTGTGTCAGTGTTTTACCACCTTCACGGTGAAGATTTTTTTCCCTAATACCTAATGAGAATTTCCCTTCTCCAGCTCATGCCTGTAGCTTCTCATCCTGTCCCTGTGCACCTCTGAAAGGAGAATGGGTATGTTTTATGTTTTGCATCCCAGCACCCAAGGGCAGGCAGAGTGCCCCACCAGCCCTGATAAACACACGGAGAAGACCACCATCCCCTTCAGGGCACTGGTTTTTCCTCCCAAGGGAAGGCAGAGAGCCAAAGCTTCAGAGGGGAAGGAGCAGTGATCAGGGCATCCTGCTGCGCAGAGCTTTGTGGCTTCAAAGACCGAGCCCCCGGCACCTGACCCTGCACAAGCAACTTGGGAGTGACTTACCAGCCGTGGGACCAGGGCTGCTCTCATCTTCAGTCAGGAGACAACCCCCCTCCCACCATGGGTCCCCTCTTGGGCACTGCAAACTGTAACTGCTCTCGCTTCGAGCAAGAAGGGAGCAGCGAACCCACATGCATGGCTGGGCAGACGGGTGCCTTGGGGAGCTGGGGGATGGGATGCGTGATCTGGCAGGGACAGCTTTTCTTGCAGACCCTTCTGCTGCCCCAGAGTGCAGCAGGCAGGAAAATAGAGTGACGGTGGTGGCTGGGCAAGGTTCGGTGCCTGCAGGCAGCTGGGTGATTGGGCCCCCCAACCCTTTGCTCTCTGCATGGCTTTTCCAAGGCTGCTCAACGTGCGGCATCTCCTGCTACATCCCACCCTGATCTCTCTGGCTGGCCTTGCCAAGGCATGTCAGTGCTGACCTGTGGCAACCAGCCACCCGCCTGCCTGTGCCAAGACATCTCAGAGAGACCACCCCCACCCCCCTTCTTCTAGCTTCCAGTGTCTTCCAAAAACAAGCTTCTAGCTGCGTCCTGATTCCTTACCCCGAGAGAACACGGCTGGCAGCTGAACACTCCCCTGCACCACAAGAGGGGACTTAAAATCTACAGGACGTGAAGTGGGGTGCTAGCTGGAGTGCTGGACTGTCCCCATGCCATCTCCCCCATCCTGCTGTTCACCCTCCTCTGCTATACCCCCGCAAACAAGGATCTTTTTTGGATCCCCCCCATCCCTCTGCAGCACCCCCAGCCTATGTCATTTCCTTCAGGAAAGGGATCCTCGAAACAAGTCTGTGCCCCCTCTCAAGCCCCTCACTTTTGACCTTGGTCCCCTGGAATCATGGGGGCTGGGGGGGGGGGGGGGGA